AATGTTGCAAAATTTCACCAATAAATAAATCATTTATTTACATGCACCACGCGGCAACGCTGCTGCGCCATCTTGGAAAATACACCATTGCATAACCCGAAAAATTAAGGGGCATTTTTACACCATTGCATAACCCGCATATTGAAGGGGCAACATGCAATACTTTCTTTTTACAGCGTTGCCATATTGAACAATAATCCCTATACAACGCTGTAATTTAATTCCTATTTTTCGGCACAATCATGCAACGCTGTTGGATAATTTACTGCGCTCAAGTCGCCATTTTCATACTACTAACTTGAGTAGGTAAAACTAAGTCATTGAGGTCCGTCGAGCAACCCGACGAAATATATCAAATTATATTTTTCGTTCTGCCTATTCTCAGAACTATTTAATTATGTCGAAAAATATTTTCCCCTAGCATTTGGGTATAATCTTCGAGACATGTTTGACTACACTTTAGCTTGGTTGAGAGTTTTAAGTTGTTTGTTCGTTTTATTCAAGCTCCTGTTACTTTCGGATTCACTGACCTGGCGCGGTGGTTTGTTTAACTTGAATCATTTACTCATACTCAAAACTCCAAACTAAAATTACTCGTAATTTACCAAAAAACGGAATCGCGGAGACCCATTATCTTCATACCCTCTTTGATTTTCTTCTCCTTCTCACCGACGATCAGTATTAGTAGGTAGGTCACGAATTGCGATAAGGCCATCACCATGTAAGTCGGAATGACTACTCGAAAAGCTAGCATCCAGTCTGTGAAAACAAAACACAATGATAAAGAACAAAAAATCAGGGGGCACCCTTGACTTACATGCGATTCGACCCTTGATGGGCCATTGCCGTTGGATGTGACCAAGCTCAATTTTAAAACTCTAAATTTTTCCATTATCCCCCAGTCCTTCTTAAACGACTACATTAACAAATTGCCATGGGACATTCTGTCCATTAGATACAGATTCTCCTTTAACCAACTTAAGCGTTTTGGTCACAAAATCAATGTGTGTTTGTACAGTTGAACGAATTTCCTGGCGGAGCATAGAATATAAATTTTTCATGAAAGTCTCTGAACCTAACCCAAGAATAAATCTAAGTTATGCATATGCAACGCATTTAGATGTGACCAAACTCAATTTTAAAACTCTCAATCTTTCCATTTTCCCCCAGTCCTTCTTAAAGGACTACATTGACGAATTGCCATGGGACATCCTGTCCATTATGTGGCGACTTGGATACCCCTGAACATACCTTTTTTTATGTAAACTAAATGATGCCTCTAGGTTAGAATTAGAAAAAAGATGAACTCTAAAGTTAATGCAAATAATTTATTAGAATTAATGTTATATTATAGAAATAATTAGAAACTAGGTTACAAGTACATTAAGGACATTTTAGAATCTAAGGCTAAAACTTATAAGATAGCTGGTAATAATAGTAATAACTCTGCCCCTAAACTCCCCGATGTAATGCCCACAGGCGGTTCCGGGGCTTCGTTAGATTAGTTCGTTTAATCTCAAGATCAATAATATATTCAATCCGTTCCATCTTTAATATGCCTATGTATCTTTAAATATCTAATAAGGCATTAAAGAAGAAAAAAAAAGAAAAGAAAAAAATCCTGTCCAGTAGATATAAATTCTCCTTTAACCAACTTAAGCGTTTTCCTCGCAAAATCAGTTGGTATTTGTACAGTAGAACGAATTTCCTGACGGAGCATAGAATGGAGATTTTTCATGAAAGCCTCTGCTGGTATTACGTCAGTGCCAGCAAATTCTTAACGCCCGATTCTATTTCCAAATTTGCTTGGCTTTGCAAACCAGACCGGCTACATCCTCAGGTTAAAAAACAATTGCATTCACGGCATTTGTATGCCATGGATAGATATACCGCTTATGGCACACCAGATAGACACCTGGGAAACGGTTATACGCCTACCCCACATTGCAAATGCAATCCGCATTTAGGTACCTTGCACTGCTAATAAGCATGAACTTTTAAAGAACCTCTTGTAACGCTCCACACCACCTTATTGTCTAATCTTTAATGATTATGCTTCATATCCACCATAATCTGACGCTCAACCCCCTTCATTTCTGTTCACACTCATTTGTTCCGCCACACATTTTGTTCTTTAAGAGCCATTTTTCATTTCCTCATTCATCTCATTCCTGTCGCAATCATTCATTTTTCATCTCATTTCAATTCCGATGCAGAGCATTCTTGATTTGTTAGAATTTCGCATCATCTCTCCCCCCCCCCCCCCNTAGCAGGCTTTTGTAAATATTCTAGTACTTTTCAGTGTGGCCTGTTTGACTTTAAGAAAATTCTAGGCTTTAAGTTCTCAGATATTTTATCCATTAAATTTTAGAATTCTTATACACATGTGCACATTCATCTTACACTTCCCATTCAACTCCTAATTTCTGCACAATATCACGAGCATCTTCTATTTTCAGTTTCTCTGCTCATAAAATAACTTCAAACCCTTTTTTTTACGTTACATAGGTATTATTTTTCCATGTTTTCTTCTCAAATTACATTTACAGTTACATATTACATTTTGCAAGTTTTTGTTTCTACCATCGCATTCCATTTAAAACTTTCTTTAAAATTTGCATATTTATTTTATATTTAATTTTCGCACTGCGTTACACTATTAAGAATTGACATGTAACAGCTGCATAATCCTTACGTTTTTTTTCTCGCATCACGTTAGCGTTAACATTTTTATTTATATTTGATATTTAATTTTATAAGTTTTTTTTTCGCATATAAGACGGCCGGCCGTACACGTAATTCCAAATCACATATTTAGACATTTTGCACATACTATTTTCACCTTTACAATGTCATTTTCAACTTTTCTTACCACGTTCATCTCTAGTCCAGTTATACTAATCTCGTTTCCAACCAACTTTTATTTATATTTCCGTTAACTGTCACAACTGTTATCATGGAATTACACTGAGAGCACATATCATTCCCCTTGTATCTACCCTTGTTGAGAGAGGTTCCTATCATATCATTGTCATTTCTGTTCTTGTTCATTTTATTCATTCATTATAGTTTGTTCATTACCATTTCAGAAAATTTGTCAATACTTTGGTTCCCGATTTTTCAGAGAATTTCGTTCGTGATTTGTTCTATAATGACTGTAAATTTAAGGGAAAAAGTATGTATAATTCTTCAAAAATACACCCGGGGAAATATGTCAACTCTCGATTGCTCATGCGGCGTTTTTCCCTAGCATGGCAATAAAAAATATCTCAAAAATATCCATTGAATAATCTAAACTTACCTCCCGTGTAAGCTGCTTTCGGGAAAATTTCTAAATACATCTTTGGAATGACGGTCGTTGAGTTGGAGTCGAGCTGGTAAACACAATCAAACAAAAAAATTAAATTTCAATTTTGGATGACTGAATGATGAGAATAGCGCATTAGATCAAGGGTTATAGACGAAGGGTTGATTGCGCGTGCGCACTATAATCTTGTCTAAATAGTATGTAAGTATGTATAAAGGCGCTCTCTGGCACTCTGCGAATCCTAGCCGCCCAAGTCCCCTATCCTCCCAAAGCCCCTCAGGGAGTTGGCAAACCCTCATTTCTTCCAAAACCCCCTGTCGCCACCCTTTCACTGAGCGTCCCACTTGGGTCCACCTTGTGATCTTCAAAGTTCGAAAACATTAGCATTAACATGACCGTCGTCCGCTCCCTCTGATTTGGGAACTCCTTTCCCAAATTTTGCGCGAATACGACTAGTGATGGGGGAAGGCTCCTCATGAGTGGGCGGAGAGTCCCAGGTTTTGATCGGAGGTAAGGACTCCATCCTGAAACGAAAGTCTCAGGCGGCAAGATTTTCTTAAGTTTACCAAGAAATTCGTGTGTTATCAAGAGACACGTTGATAGGTCAAAATGTTCAAAAATAAATGTCCGAAGTAAAAAAATTGGCCTCAGGCCAATTTATGCGCGGCGCTTCGCGCCGGCATTTGGGGGGCTTCGCCCCCCCCATCCGCTTCGCGGATTGGTGCGGGGACCGCACGGGACTTTCTCGCTCGAGCCGGCGCTTCGCGCCGGCATTTTGGTGGCTCCGCCACCTGTCCCTCAACGGTCTGATTCTGTAAATACCATTTTTATCGTGTTTGTTGAAACAAATCCTTTCAAAGATTCCGAATAGGATTTCATCATTAAATTAGGGATAAACAGACTAAAATTGGCATCAATGTAATTAATTTGAACGAAATTTCCAAGGAAAGCCTTGAGGTTCAATTTAATTTCAAGGGTGGGTCATTTTCAGAGGCAGTCTCAAGTACAAATAAATTGTGAGAGATACTAAAAAATAAACGCTAGGTTCTAAAATTATTAAGCATCTGAATTGTAAACAGGTACTATTGAGCCCTAATTCTTATTATTAAACGCATGCAACTTACAAATACGAGTAACACAGGTGAGGAAACGGTGGAGAAACGGAGACAACGAAACATAAACGACACAAAAATAAAGTTCAGTGGAACTATTTTTCAAGAGAATAAAATAATTAACACTGACTTTACACTTTAAATCACAGTTCTCCTGAATATAAAAGGGGTAAGAAACGATTAATCCAAAATATTCTTCAGTTTCCAGAGGAATAGATTCAAAACGACAGAGCAATCTTGCAGCAGTGCAGTCAATACCAGCCAATTCGTTCAAGATGTAGCAAATGAGTCATTCATTTGTTTTTTACTTTCTCGCTATCATAGGGTAGAGAGGAAGTATTG